CCCATGAGTCATGAATGTTCTTAATGGCATCTAGAACAGTGAATTCTTTCTAGAAGTTTTTCAATTTACTTTGCCCAAATCTATCAGAGGACTCAGTATCTATGGCAGTTACAGGCTTACAAAATTTATTTCTTAAATAATAAGACTTGAAAGTTGAAATTAGTCCTTGATCCATGGGCCACAGAAGGGATGTTGTGTTGGTAGACATGAACAAAACATTGATCTCCTTGTACATCTCCATCAGAGCTCTTGGGTGACTAGGTGTATTGTCAATGAGCAGTAATTCTTTAAAGGGAATCATTTTTTCCAAGCAGCAAGTCTCAACAGTGGGCTTGAAATATTTACTAAATGATGCTACAATGAGATGTGCTATAATCCAGGCTTTGTTGTCCCATTTATAAAGCACATGCAGAGAAGATTTAGCATCATTCTTACGGATTCTAAAATTTTTGAATGGTAAATGAGCACTTGCTTCAACTTAAAATCTTCAGCAGCATTAGCCCCTAACAAGAAAGTCAGCCTGTTCTTTGAAGCCAAACACTGACCTCTCCTTTCTAGCTATGAAAGTCCTAGATGGCATCTTTCCCAATAGAAGGCTGTTTCATTTATGCTGAAAATCTGTTATTTAGAGTAATCACCTTCATCAATGATCACAGCTACATATTCTGGATAACTTGCTACAGCTTCTCCATCAGCACTTGCACTGTTATAAAGACAGCTTTTCCTTAAACTTCTGCTGGTTTCCAACTCTTCTTCTGTAGCTTCTTGACCTCTCTCAGTCTTCGCAGAATTAAAGAGAGTCAGGGCCTTGTTCTGGATCACGCTTTGGCTTAAGGGAATGTCATAGCTGGTTTGATCTTTTGTTCAGATTACTAAGACTTTTTTCATATCAACAGTAAGTCTGTTTTGCCCTCTTGTCATTCATGGGTTCACTGGAGTAGCACTTTTAATTTCCTTCAGGAACTTTTCCTTTACACTCACAATTTGGCTAACTGTTGGCACAAGAGCCATAGTGTTCCACCTATTTCAGCTTTGGACATGCCTTCCTCCCTGAGCTTAATCATTTTTAGCTTTTGATTTAAAGTGAGAGACATGAGACACTTTACTTCAACACTTAGAGTACATTGTAGGGTTATTAACTCGCCTAACTGCAATACTGTTGTGTTTCAGGAAATAAGGAGGCCAAGGAGAAGGAGAGAGAGAGAGAACAACTGATGGGTGGAGTAGTCAGAACACACAACACACACATTTATCAATTAAGTTTGATGTCTTATACAAGCATGGTTCATTCATGGCAACCCAAAACAATTACAATGGTAACATCAAAGATCACTGATCACAGACCACCATAGCAGACATAATAATGAAAAAGCTTGAAATATTGCAAAATTACCAAAATGTGGCAGAGAGACACAAAGTGAGCACATGCTGTTGGGAAAATGGCACCAATAGACTTGTTCCAGATAGGGTTGCCACAAACCATCAAACAACGCACAAAAACAATGCAATGTCTTCGAAGTGAAGCACAATATAATAAGGTATGCTCGTACTAACAATTTCCTTCACTTTAAATTAAGCTCCCCTAATGCAAATAAAAACTGCAATGAGATATCACTTATCTCCAGTGTGAATGGCCTTTATCAAAAGTCCCCAAACAATAAATGTTGGTGTGGATACAGAGAAATAGGAACACTCCTACACTGCTGGTGGGACTGCAAACTAGTTCAACCTCTGTGGAAAGCAATATAGAGATACCTTAAAGCAATACAAGTAGATCTACCATTTGATCCAGCAATTCCACTACTGGGCATCTACCCAAAAGATCCAATGACACTCTACAAAAGACACCTGCCCTCGAATGTTTACAGCAGCACAATTCACAATTGCAAAATTGTGAAAACAGCCCAAGTGTCCATCAATACATGAGTGGATTAATAAAATGTGGTATATGTATACCATGGAGTACTATTCAGCTCTAAGCAACAATGGTGATATAGCACCTCTTGTATTTTCCTGGATAGAGCTGGAACCCATTCTACTAAGTGAAGTATCTCAAGAATGGAAAAACAAGCACCACATGTACTCACCAGCAAATTGGTATTAACTGATCAACACCTAAGTGGACATATAGGAATAACATTTATTGGGTGTCAGGCAGGTGGGAGGGGGAGGAGGAGATGGGTATATACATACATAATGAGTGAGATGTGCACCGCCTAGGGGATGGTCACACTTGAAGCTCTGACTCGAGTGGGGAGGGAGGGCGGGCATGGGCAATATACGTAACCTTAATATTTGTACCCCCAAAAAAAAAAAAAGACATTAGAAAATAAAAAAAAAAAAAAGGAAATAGCATACCTTTCCTAAGACAAAAAATGTCCTATATTATTTTTTAAAAAGTTAAAGGTTTGCCATTGAGGTTTAGTTCTTCAACCTACCTGGAATTAATTTTTACATAACATTCAGTGAGATCTAATTTCATATTTTTATGTATACAAAGCTATCTGTTTTGAAGTTTGATCATCAGAAGAGCCTATAAAAATAAATCCATGACAAATATATTCAAAAAAAAAAATTAAGCTCCTCTTTCCTTCCAAATAATCTACCAAAACTCAAGTCATTCATTGCAATTCTGTCTGAACTGCAAATACTTGAGAAACAGCTGCTGTACATTTATTTGTATCTTTGTCAGCAAAATGTTTATAATATGAAAAAAATCGGTTTGAAATCTCCAAAAAGCAGCATTCAGTGCACCATCTAGTGGAAGTCAGGTAATATCATAATTAATTTTTTAAAAAGGAAAAAAAAAATCCACAGAAACTCTGAAAACCATGGAGGGGTGGGGCAAAAGCCTCAGGTAAGAATACAAGCAAATACTTTAAAAACAGCCAAAGTCTCTTTCCAATGCCCCACACTGAAGGAGGGCTGGGCTCATCAGAAGAAAGGACTCATTTTCTTTACAAATGAACAGATGATAAAAATTTCCTTATGAAAATTTTTGTTTGGGTGCTACAAATTTTAATTTGACTGGAGAGAGAATGCTAAGTAAAGGCACTAAAGCATAAATAGGTAAATAAATGCAGGGGTAGACTGACAGCCTTGTTGTGTAAGAGATGCCTTATGTGTTTCACAAATAAGTTATGTCAAAAGATATATGTAACATGCAACAGATATATTAGCCACAAAACAAGAGATAACTTCATGATTAGAACAGTTCTATTCAGTCATTCATAGGCCATTTTCACGTTCCTGATAACTAAATTTAACACAACTTAACAATTATTTAGAGTTCCCTAAGCCTTAATATCATGCAAGAAGCTGCTCCCAACTACCCATTTAAACCTGCTCTACACTAACCTCCAAACTCCCTTGCTTGAGTTATTCTAATTAAGAAATTATTTTTCAACCCTTCTATAAATTTACAGTAATGAATTCCCAAAACAAAGTCATAAGTCATGACCAAAATACATTATAGTTCATTTATATTTGCTTTAAGCATAGTAATTATTTCCATTTCAATTAATTATTTCACTTGCAATTCAATTCAATTGTACCAAAGTCCACTGCCAAGCCAGAGACACAAACAGAAATAAAGTTCTCTCATTTGGAAAGGTCCCAAAATTTAACAGAGATTTTCACATAGCACTAAGTTTTGTTCGTTTGGTTTTGCCTGTGTGGAAAATTACCTTTCTGATGAAATTCAAACTATCTTAGCAACCCAGGTGGAGGAAAAAAAAAAACAACACCTCAGAGATAATATCTCTTTACTTGAAAACAAACATCTCCAGCTCTAACTGGTGTACACGTGATCATATTGGTATGCAAAAGCTTGCCTGATGGTGGGAACCCTACCCAGATCTTGGACTGAATCCGTCACGAGTATAAAATGAAGTAGGAGTCAAGCGACTGGGGTCGAATTCCGTTCACGTCTAGGGCGTTCGGCTCGTGCACCTGTACAACGCGCACGCTGTGCACAGCCTACCTCAGAGGATACAGGGTGGCATGCTGCAGCTGACAGTGCAACGAGATTCTCAACTAAAACACCTAAATGGAAAAAAGTCTGTTTTGTAGACTCAGAAAGGACCTGGACCGAGAGAACACTGTCCAAGGGCCATCACAGTGACATTACTGCTAAAACTCGGTGACCTCCGTCATTCCCTTGCGAACAAATGCTATACTGAGCACGTGAAACACAAGGTAACAGCACTTCAAGGCGCTTCTTTATGAGGAAATCAAATCACGGAATTAACTGCCCAGGATTTCTCTGCCAAGTATCACCGCGTGAGCAGCAGGTGCATCCCTACAGCCTACAGTCCGGGACAGGGGCTTTTTTTTTTATTGACCGCTGCTTTAAAAATAAGAAAAAAGAATCCCAACCGTACGCCCACATGCAGAGTGACAGGGACGGGTGCCACCCACGACCGTCCTCACCCGGCCCCTCGGGAACGACCCCCGTCCTACCGCACGGCCCCGCCTGGGCCCAAGGGAGCTGCGCGGCCGGCGTCCCTGCGCGGGAGAAAAAGCCCCGAACAGGTTCACGCGAAAGGCTGCTTTAATTTTGAAAACAGCTAAACCAGCGAGTAACGTTAAGGTGCACGTCCCACACCGGCGCCGTCCCGGCCACCGCGCCGCAGCCCGGCCGCAGCGAAGACGTCTCCTCGCCGAGGGGAAGAGCGGCCGCCGCCCAGCGCTTCTCACCGGCAGTCCCGGCCCTCGGAGCCGGCCCGGCCCGCGCGCAGTCCCGCTCCACCTGCCCGGCCCGCGGTTCCGCGCCGCCGCCCCGCCCCAGCCTGCGGTCCCGCCCGCGCGCCCCCTCCCCCGCCGGCCCGCCCCACCGCCGCAAGGTGCCGCCGCCGCCGCCGGCTCCGGGCTGAGGCGCCTCGAGGCGAGCGAGAGAGAGGCGGCTCGGCTCGGCCGCGGGCGGAGCAGCGAAGGGAGCGGACCCCCCGCCCGCAGCAACCCCGGAGTCTGACCGCGCGGCAGCCCGCGGCGCCCCTCACCTGCCCTGGGCGGCCGCGGTCCTTGGGAGGCGCTCGCTCCGGCCTGCAGCCCGGCCCGAGGCAGGAAGGCAGCGACCGCCGCCGCCACACAGGACAATCCGGAGCCGGCGGGCTCGCGCCGCCACGGCGATCGCAGGACGCACGAGCCCAGCGGGAGGCAGGCCCCCACCTCCCGCCCAGCGAGGAACCCTCCGGGGGCCGGGGCCGTGGCGGGAGGGGCGGAGCGGGGCCGGGGACGCACCGCCCGCAGGGCGTGAGCGTCGCAGACGCTTTGTAAGAGACGCCTGGTGATAGGCTGCAAAAGGGGTAGGCGTCTCAGACTTGAGGACAGCCTCTCCAGAAGAACTCCCTCATTGGTCGGCACGGAAAACAAAGCCGGGCTCTGATTGGTGACAGCTCTGTAGCTCCTCCTCCTACTCTCAACCAGGGAAAGCTCCGCCCCCGCCCGCCCGGCTAGCCAGCCCGGAGCCGCTCACCTCAGGCGGCTGCGGGGCTGGGCGCCTGGACAGACCGCAGCGCCCTCGGAGAAGCGCGGTGTCCAGGCTCGTTCGCCAGGTGCTAGCTTTCCTACCCGCCGAGAGTCTTTGACTTACGTATGAACTTGGTGAATAAAACCTAAACTTTTACCTCGTTTGGATTCTGAGAGGTCTCCCGGGTGTGTGAAAAATGCAGCGTGAGATTCGGAGGAGATCGTCATGCGCCGAGAAAGCGCGTAAAATGTCTGCACCTGTGGTGACGTTGTGGGCGACCTTGTTTCCTGTTACCTTTCCGTGTTCCACACTGGCGATGTATGGTTTCATAGTTAGGAAAAACAACAATTAACAATAGGAAACGAGTCAGATGCGGAGAATGGCGAAGACAAACTTTGGGCACATCCCGGGCACCGAGTCCCGCGGGAGAAGGGATCGCGGTCAGTGTGCTCAGCGTCCCGGGGCTCTGGAGACACAGGACGCGCCGTTCGCCTTCGCTCGCTGACAGAACTTCACAGGTGTCCTCAGGTGCCCGACACCGTCCTAAGTAACCGCTCTCTCCAACACGCACGCACACGGCGCTACTCGGTAAACAGAATTATTGGAAAACTCCCTGATAGGAAGAATTTAGACTCCAAAGTACAAAATCAACAAAGCTTTAGCAAAAGAAGGAAAATAAAAGGCAAACAACAGAAAGAAATTCAGACGACATAAATCGAAAAATTCAGCTAATGCAGAGAACTATATGAAAGAAAAGAATGTGAGAACACTTGGAAATGGACATAGACTTTGAAAATCAAAAGCTGAGAGAGAGGGAGGAAACGGAGATAAGGATCAATGACCCACAGTTAAAGTCATCTGAACTCTCAGATCACATCAGCCAGGCCTGGTGGCCTCCTGGGACCGCTCTCACTGAAGTCCCTCTAGCTGCCTCACCATTCTGCTTGTTCTTGTCATTCCTGTGAAGTTCTAAAACAGGCTATCTGAAATTAAGAACTTCTTCCAACAACTCTATAAAGGAAAGGAACGTTAAGATCAACATAAATTTGAGAAGGACAAAACATCTGATACGAAAAATAGGAGAAATCTTTTATTCTTTCTGATTTCCTGAGAAAAGGTAAAGCTCTTTGGAGGACCTCGTTACCTAACAGAGTTTTTAAAGAGCCCTTGTAATAAATGGAATCCTAAACAATAGTCAGAAAATATGTGTCCCATAGTAAATACTTTGAGCAAGTAACTTAGTTTTGAAATCTAATTATTTTCGAATTATGTAAAAAAAAAAAAAGAGGAACTTAGCATTGCCTAGTATAAACAAACTGGAAAGAACATTCTCCAACATTTTTTTCCACAAAAATGCCTGAAATTCCACCACTAACATTCTTTCTTTGGGATAAATAATTTAAGATTATTATTTTATTCATTAACTCGTCAAACATGTAATAAGTATTAATTATCAAATACTAGATCCTCCAATGAACAAGGCACTCTGAGCATACCCTGGAACAAGACAGACTTGAAGCTATTTTTATCAGTAGAAGAAGATAACCAAGCAGTGAAAGGATAAACTTACAGAGCCAGATAAGGACAAAGAAAAAACTGCAATGGGAAGGACAGGGGAGATACTTTATTTTGAGTAGGGAGAAAGAAATGTTCTAAGAAGAAATGATATAAGAGAAATGCTCTAAGATTTGAGTTTGCACCTAAAGGAGGAAACACCAGCTTTGCAAAACTCCAGGGCAGAGGAAGCAACAAGGGCAAAGGCCTTGAAGTAGGGGGGAAAAATGAGGAGTGGAGGAACAGAGAAGGCCAGTGTGGGTGTCCTGGCACGTAAAGGGAGTGGTGCCACACAGGTGAGAGAAGGATGCAGGGTCCTGTAGGCAACGGTAACAAGTTTGTATTGTATTTCAAGTATTCCTCACAGGGGTAACATTAAGTTGCTCATGTTGGAGTAAAATCATTATTTTTTTTTCCTTTTTCCGAGTCACCAGATAAATAGGCCAGATCATCAGACATAAATCTATAAAGAACCTACTGTTTTCCAGGAACAGGTTAGATCTGGGGATATAACAGTGAATAAAACACACACCCCCAGGTGGATCTGTACAAGCTGTTACCACACAGGTGATGGGGAAATCAAGGATTCTATTAGCACACAATCCTGAAAGGACCAAGGGGGTCATCCTAAACAAAATGAGGAATAAGCTGAAGAATGAGTCGGAGTCATCCCAGGAAAGGGCGCTGGGGTTCTAGACCCAGAAAACAGCAGAGGGGCGTTGGGTGCCTGGCAGGGAGAAGGGAATGGAGTGCAAAGCCATAGAGACCATTGCATAAAAAGTCAACTTTCCCTGCAACAAAAATCTAACCGGTGATGCCATTCTGAGTGCATGGGAGCTGAGCAAAATATGAGAAGAAAAATCCTGATTGTTGTTTAATATCATCATCTCCTTTATTCCTCCAACAAAAGTCATTGAAAATAGTGAATACTTATTTTTAACCATGACATTCCTTTTAGGATCCTAATGGTTAACTGTCTTAATCCTGTTTGACCAGAACTAGGGCAGAGCTGAAGCCCTTGGAGTAGAGACCTGCTCTCTTGGTCCGAGCCTCTCCTTCTGGCTCTTGGCCCAGCTCTCTTCCTTTGTATCAGCTGAACTTCCAACATTAGCAGGTACCTGTAAGGGAAGAGAGCCAGCTCTCTCTATAGAGGGCCAGAAAGAGAGCATGCTGGAAATTAGGAAATGCCAAAGTATCTCGATACATCTAGCTGATCGTGGTGGGTGTGCCAAAAGATACAGCAACTAAATAAAAAATGTCATCTTCGAAATGTTTGGCACAATGCCTCAAAGCCGCTGAAAAGGAACCTCTGCACCCTAATGATAAGAGGACAGAAATTCATTGTAAAGATAGAAGGGTGTGTCAGCGGGTGTATAACAGATCCCAAGGGCAAAAATAACTCATCCTCAGGAAGGCAGGAGCCAAGACCTGGAAAACCATGAGGAACTCAGCTGGGGGTCTCTCTGTCTCCAAACCTGGTACACTGTCTACACTTCAGCTCTGTTCTCCTACTCTGAAAACCAGCTTTTCTGGCTCCTATTCCAGGGGTCAGAGTAAAGTCGTTCCAGAGCTGCACACACAGGGACTGAATCAACTCCCTAACCCTACCCAGAGGTGATGGGGGGTGGGGACCTACATGCTGCCAGGGCCTTTTCCCCTTGATGAGCGAATATTCCCCAGAGAAGAGGCTTCTCCCTGGGCAGATGAGCAGACAGGCACGCACTGCGCCTCCGTGTTTTCAGTAGCCAGTCAGTGGGCTCCGTTTTCTATTCAGTGAAAGCCTTCGCCTGTTGTTTATGCCAAATCCGAGACCCAGAGGCCAAGGCCAAAGGCTTTTTTGGTGATTTCCCCACTTTCTCTGGAAATCTCTCTACTTCAGTTTCAAGTTGCCATTCCTGTTTAGGTCTTCTACTAATTCCCTCTTTCTGCTCTGAAGTACACCTGGTGACTTCATGTTACTTAAAGAGCAAAAGTCCCTGCCAAGTTGGTGAACGTTAGTGCACAAGCCCACTGTCGCCAGCTCAGATGAGACCAGCACCTGGAACAAGCAGGACAGAGGGAAGAGGAGAAGCAGGTGGCAAACCTTCGTCCCCCGCAGACACTTCACTAGGGATTCAAAGGAGACTTGCCCCTGGCCCTGGATGAAAACTTGGGCGATCCCATAACTTTTCTGATAGCTCATAGGTAATAAAAATCCTTTCATCAGTTTAAGTCAAAACATACAGTTTTACCTTAGAAACTTAAATGTGCGTGCCAAAATGCTTGATCAATGGTTCCTTCAAACTTCATTCAAAGATAGGTCTTCCCTCCGCTTCCCCAGCGAGGCTCAGGGCAGGCAGGCTTGGACTCCCAGCAAGGGGGAGGGATCCCACTCTCTGTCCCCACAGACCCCACCTTCAAATTCATGATGCAAAGGGAAGGGGGAGGATTCCAGGGCTAGCAAGGTCATGCTTCACTGGTGCTGTTGTTTGGAGGGTTTGCTCTCTGAGCCTGGCCAACCAGCTTCCCTTTTGGGTGCTTCCCGACATACTTAGAGACCTGCACTTGAAACATCTGCCTGCACCTCTGACGACCTTGGCAATGCAGTTTTCTGTGGCCACCACTTCTGCCTTGGTTCCTGGTATCCTGCAGGCCACTTTATACAGTGTCCTATTGTGTTGGGGGTGGGGTGGAATGGTCACTTGGCCTTTCCAGTTTTTCCTCATAGGTGGGACTTCAACATCATCAGCCTAGTTCTCTCTAATGAATGGCTCTCACCTGGTCCTCCAGGAACACTCAGACGTGCTTTACTCCTGTTGGTCTTCTGTGTTCTCTCCTTTCCCACCCCACACCCTGCTGCTGCCTCAAGCCAGCACCTTCAGCATCTCCACTGTAGACATGCCGAGTTAAAGTCAGACACTCCAAATTCCAGAGGACACAAATCAAGGCGCCCTCGTGACACACCCCTCTCTAGTGAGTTTAAGGAGGAAGATCTCGAAGGAGTAGGAGTTACAGCACTGCTTTCTTCCAAGCAACTTCTTCATAGATCCTTTCCTTGTCTCCATTTCCAAAGTCCTTTTATGATCCTATTTTGGGTGAGGGTTTTTAAAGAGTCACCAAGGGGCTACAACATTATTTTTTATTTTCCTCTTGCTCTGATAACTTAATTCAGAATTTCATG